TCTGCGCTGGATGCGCATGGATGGTCAAGTGGAAGGAGCTGGCAATGGGGAGCCCCTGCCCAGAGATGGGAACAGTATTCCATGTGAGGCCGAACCTGCGCCTTGTAAAGTTGCCGGCGGTGTGCCGGCATGAAATACTGTCCCGCTCTGCTGAGCACGCCAAGTTTTTTAGAGGACAATTTGGCCTTCTCTTCCAAGTGACCACGAAACTGCACGTCACTCGATATGTCGACGCTAAGGATTCCGATACTGGCTGAGGCAACAAGGGGAGTGCCTTGAAACTGAGGAGATACGACAAAGGGGTTCCTTTTAGCGGTAAACGCGCAAGCTTGTGTCTTCGGGGGATTAAACTGGACTAGATTTAGTCGCCCCCAATCCGAGACTGCTCAGCAAAGACTCGACTTCAGACACAAATTTGTTCCGGTAGGTACTCGGCAACGTTTTCCCGAGAAATACTGGTACTGACGGTGTATATAGCATCAACAGTGCTGTCATCTGCATAGCAATGTATGTTATCGGTTTGGTTAGCTTCGTGCCAGACCCGATCGAATGCCTTCGCTATGTCCAAACTAACGGCCAATGCCTCCCCCTTGGACTCAATCGCCTGCGCTCATCTTCTATGTGTTAGGTAAACAAGAAGATCACCAGCTGAGCGACCGCGACGGAAACCGTACTGGCAGTCACTAATCAGCTGGTGATCCTCAAGGTACCGCATGAGCTGGCAGTTAATAATGGACTCCATTATTTTCGGGAACAAGGAGGTGATAGGCCTGTAATTAGGAGTACCGAAAAATACGCGTTAGAACCGGTGCCAACTCTGGAGCGCACGTCCTCAGCACAATTGGCGGGATTCCGTCAGGCCCACTCGACTTGTTATACTTCTTTTTAAGCATGCTGGTATTTACACCCCGAGCCGCCGAAGCCTCAGCCCAGGCCTGATAACACTCCTGCTTACTGCGTAATGCAGTCTTACAGGAGCGACCAAACCAAGGCTGAGATCTGCCACCGATTGGTACCACAGATGATGGAATAAATAGTTCCAATCCCTGTAGCACCACATTGGTGACAGATTCAGTAACTGCGCTGGGATCATCCGGCGAGAAGCAATCCCGCCCCCATGGGTAGGATACAAAGAAATACCGCATTCCGTCCTAATTCGCCGACCTGTAATGCCAAACACGGTGGCAACCGGCCGAACGAAACCACGAGGAGAGCGTGAGTGGCACCACACTCCGAATCAGACAATGGTCCGAAGAGCCGAGAGGGGCATCAACGGAAACCTGATATCCGTTCGGATGAGAGGTCAGCAGAAGTTCTAACAGGGAAGGTGTATGATCTTTGTCATTTGGAATCCGCGTAGGCGAAGTAACCAGTTGTGTCAGACTATATGCCAAGGTAGTCATAAACAAATCTCCCCGCATGATCGGTTAAACGTGAACCGAGCCATTCAGCGTGGTGGGCGTTAAAATCGCCAAGTATCACGATCTCTACGGATGGGCTCTGTTGTAGCAAGAAATCTGTAGCCATTTGGACGTGGTCGATGAGTCGATCTGTGTCGGCATTACCGCTATGGGACGTAAACAGGCACCCGTAGACGCGGGGATGGCAGTCGCTGTCTACGCGCAGCCAAAGGATGGACATTTCCGTACCTTCAAGACTGCCGAGGCGTCGAGAACAGATATTCTCACTGAAGTATACGCAAACTCCAGCCCGAGGCACAGAAAAGTGTTCTAATTTGTACCCCGGGTAGGACAAGTACAAAGTATCAGCCGGAGAGGACACCTACGTCTCGGTCAAAAAGAGCAACGCCGGCTTCGCCGTCTCTAGGTGGTAGTGGACGGCGTTAAGGTTTGAGTGAAGTCCCCTGATATTGCAGAAGTCCACGGATAGCGTGGCAAGGGTCGCCATGGTTTTATCGCTCCGTTTGCCCCGTGCAGTGTTAGTATAGAACAGGAAGTAGAGGGTAGCTTGACCGTGGATGCTCAGTGAGGGATTCTCCATTACCAGGGTTGCCTGTACCCTCCTGGGGTATTCCTTTCTTTTTAAATTCCGCTACCATATTATGGGGGGGGGGGGGGCTCCCGCCACCTGCACAAACCAACCAACCGCAAAAGCATAGCTTCTACTTTACCGTGTTATTCTGTGAGGTCGTGGTACTGCCCCGGTTCGAGCCGGCCCATACATGCTACAGCAGAAGCTGTAGCGTGGTTCTACCACTGTTGTTATAAAAGTATAGTATAGTAGTATGTTATAAAAATTATATCAAATCTAATGTAATGGCGGGGACGATCTTGAACATGTTCACAGACTTCCCGGAGCGTCGGCGGTTCACACCAGCTATATTATCAAATCTAATGTAATGGCGGGGACGATCTTGAACATGTTCATAGACTTCCCGGAGCGTCGGTGCTTCACCGACATCTATATGTTTTTGCGCGGGTTTTTATAGATCTTTTTGTTTGTCCTATATAAAAAAGACCACATTCACAATCAAGCTTGCACACTCCTGTATTTTGTAGGGGGATATTACACTTGACGGAAGGTACCAACTGACTAATCTTCTTCGGCGGCTTGTAGTAGGTTTTAATAGAAGCTTACTTCAAGATGTAGCCAATCTTGTCTGTATGTGATTCTTCTGACGTATGGTATTAGTACAGCAGGCACATGCTCGACCGTGGCCGACTTCACTCGGTAACGTCGGGAATTAAAGAGATAACATTAAACGCGACAAAATCCGTAAAATTAGTTTCATTTAATGTGTAGTGTTCGCGTCATAAGAAATCATTAGTATAAAACTAATATAAAAACTGAATAGACGCGGTTATTAGACCAATTTCCATACACACAATTCAAGTTCTCTCTCGCATATCCTTTTGCGTATAATTCATTCCTTACGTAATTAAGTTAACACAAAGGATGTTTCGAACGTTACCAACTAAATAATACAGCTATGACTAACTATGAAAAAAAAAGAATCAACCAATTTTTTTTTATTTGCCTGTCTATTTTTCTACACTTTATCTTAACTTAACCTTAACTAAAAAGAAGGATCCTTTTAGTTTCGATGAAAAAGCGATTTTTAGTACTATTTTTGTTTAAATTCTACTAAGCATAGTGATTTATATATACTTAGTTCTACGCGGACCAAGTCGCGGGCAAAACCTAGTGATTAATGGAATCATGAATTGATAAACATTGTTACGGCACAAGCTCGTCAACTACAAATATTAGTAATTAAAAAAAAACATATTGAAATTAAATAAATATATGGTAATAATGTTTTAATATTCGGGAATTAAAAAAAGTTAAAATTAAACGCAATAAAATACGTAAAATTTATTTTTTCCCATGTGTGGTATTCGCGTAAATATAAGAAATCATTAATTATATACTAATTTAAACGGGTCCGTGGCGCAGTTGCTTAGTATTGAGTTGCGGCGCTGACGACGGCGGGTTCGAATCCCGCACAAAACAAGTATTTCTATGTCCTACAAATAATTGTTACGGGTCTAGATGTTAGTCCTTATGCAATTTATGTATGTAAACTGCCTCTACAATAAGGGAGAAAATCCTAGTGTGCGGGTAACGTTATTTTAATACAATTTAACAATTTGGTGAATTTGCTGGATTAAGTCTTTCAGATCTCATGCCTCTATTTGCAGCAGCTTTAATAGACCTAAATCCAGTATCTGATGGATTAGTAGGGGATGGTAAAGTGACTCGCATAAGATGACATTATGAGTAAAATTAACCTTTTAGTGTCAATTTATACCGAGGATGTAAAAGGGTTGTTAACATGAGGCTCTAGTGACTAGTGAAGTAAACAACAGTATGTCCATTAGAAAATACCAAATCAAATGCCACAGCCTAGTTAAGGGGACAACATTACCAGTGCGAGGATCCATAAGTAACGTCCAACCTGGAGAGTATAGATATATTAAGTTGGTTGCTCACTGTAGTGGTAATAGTGTGTTACATGTTTCAAAATGACTGATGGTAAAACGAGTATAGATTCAGGCAAAGCCAAGACGAAATCAGTATGCAGATCAGCTAGGGCAAGATTGCAGCTCCCTTTTGGAAGAATACACAGATATTTTGAAAGTAGGACAACAAGTCACGGGCGTGTTGGTGCTACAGCGGCGGTATATTCAGTAGCTATTCACGAATATCTTACTGTTTATGTTCTTGAGTTAGCGGGGAATGCATAAAAGGATCTTAAGTTGAAACATAAACCTATCACTCTTTGGCACTTGCAGTTAGCCATCAGAGAAGAAGGGGAGCTGGACAACTAAAGCATAGCCACCAACCATGGCTGGAGGTGGTGTCATACACACACATACACAAATCTCACTGGGAAAATAGGTGGTCCTAGAGCACCTGTTTAACTGAAGTAACATCTATAAGATCAACATTGCATTAGACCTCTGATAAGTTTTAGCATTGTACAGTCATCACCCAATCAGTAAACATAGTTTATGTTATATAAATTTTATATTAATACTAGCTGTTACCCGCGATTTCGCCTGCGTATAATTTAAGTTTTTAATTTTTTTGCGCTGAACCCTAATTTAATTTAATATTTTCTTAAATAAAAGTACTCTTTATAACATAAGCTGTCTATCAATGAAAGTTCCGTCAAAATCGGTCCAGCCGTTTCAGAGATTAGCTGGAACAAACAGATAGACAGACAGACAGACAAAAATTTTAAAAATTGTGTTTTTGTTATAAGTACCGTATATACTTTCATACGCATTCAGTGAAAAGCTGTTATTTTGACATTACAAACAGACACTCCAATTTTATTTATTTGTATAGATGTACAGATTAAAGGTAGGGCCTCTTTAGGTAATTTTGCTGGCCACAGGTTCCTTTTCATTTCTGTGACGGTTATGGACCAATAACTTATTGGTCCATAACCACCAATAAGTGGGTAAGAATTCCTTGATTTATTTTTAATATACCTCTTGTACAAATAAGACAAACTATACAAATATTATTACCTTCTTGCCAGATGAAGTCTCTCTTGAGTTGTGAGGTGCTCCACCTGCGCCATCTCTGCCACCAAATCTGCATGTTCCATGTTTATAATAAGTACCTTCAAACCAAAATCATGTAATTAATGTAGATCCACATGTTCACAATCTGGAGTTTTTCATTAGTTTTAAGAAAAACAGATATTTTTAAATGAAACCTTAATAGTTAAGAATTTAAACTGCAAAATTATTAGATTTTATTTTGTGGGGTTCAATTTGCAAATCGACCGTTGGGAAATACGATCCAGAAAACTTAGCTCAAGCTTACAAGAAATGTACTACTTAATGTTAGCATCTATTTTTTTATATGCAAGTAAACTGTCACCACAGTTTGAAGACCTCTAAAAACTTTGCTGACTATCATTTTTTATATTATTTTCTATTATATAGTGCATCCTCGATATAACGAAACTGAAGGGAATTAGAAAATATTCGTTATACCAAGTAATTTGTTATAATGAGGTTTGTTATATAAGGTAGGGTAAGGTTTTCGTTTTAAAAAGGTAAGAAAAATTGTTTATTATCCTCCACATTACATAAAAACTCATCTGCCTGTCATTATGTCTTGTAAGTATCTGAACTTGACACAATTTATTATGGAATTAAGTGGGAATAATTAATATGTTATGTCAAGGTTCTAAGTTCAAAAATTTCGTTAAAAAGAGGTAACTAATACATTCTGCAATGATTAAAAATTCGTTATAAAAAGGTTTTTGATAAATGTATACATAATGTAGAGGTATACTTTGCGTTAGCTCTTGGCATTTCTAGAGGCTTTCGAAAAGTTCGTTAAATCGAGGAATTTATTAAAGCTGAACGCACATTTGTCCGCACCGTACGCGTCGTACGCGCCTAGTTTTACTGATGATGGCCACATTTGCACATACGCATCGTCCGCGCCGTACGCAAATCTTTTGTATTACCAACAACTTTTGTAGTTTTTTTTTCCGGTTATTAACTCAAAATCACTATGGAAAGAAATATAGTAATAGCCTGCTTATTGGCAGAGGAAGAAAATAAAATTTGAAGAAAAAGAAGATTCTGAATTCATAATATTAATTTAAAAAGGCAAGTGTATGAATAATATGACGGGCTTATACTTTATTTAAAGACTTATTAGATGATGATGAATGATATTTTTAGATAATTGCATTTAACATATAAGAAATTTCAAGAATTGCTCATACAATTTTTTAATAAATTATGTTATTCAAAGCGGTAGGACACTTAAACTGGAGTCATACTACTATAATAGATGTATTTTCAAGAAAGTTGTATGAAAATCTAACTTGACTTTGCATCTATGTTGCATAAAACAGATGGTTGTTATAGATGAAGTAGTACAAAATTGATTCTACTGTGTATATATGTATATATATATATTGAATATTGGTTTTTGCTCCAATCACACTTAATACTACCCTCATACCTTCCTTTCTTGTTCCTCCTCTGAACATGTTCAAGATCGGCTTTTCATTAGAGTTGTTAAACCACAAAAATCACAAAAGACTTCCAATTCCTACCATGAATGATTTCCAATGCTACAATAATAAAAAAAAAATCCAAATTTCAAAACAGAAGATGACGTTCTGCTATCTTCCTACTATCTTCTAGTATCCTTTAATTAATAAATTAAATTCAAACTCATACAACACCACTGCAAGATTTCAAGATGCTATAAGCTCTCTCTGCTTGGATTCTTTTTGAATCCTTTACAGGATTGAAAAATGATGTGTAAAGTAAAGCCTACTATGACAGAATACAGTCAGCCTATTAATAACGCCACTATCCCCTTATAACTATCAATTGATCGGGAATTAAGAATATCTAAAAATAAATCAAATTAAATGTGACAATTTCCATACAAGAAGTTTTAGTCGAAGTGTAATGTTTATGTAAACATAATAATAATGTCCTCCAGACTGAATTTCGGTTATGGCAGCCAGTCAACGGAGACTAGCCATTGGCGCACGACAGGATTATAGTGCCCGAGTGTATGTGCAAGCACTGGTGTAATCTCTATTCCCTCACTCCCAAGGTAAGATGGGACAGTAAACCAGCTTTACCGGACAGAGATAAGGTGCAAGACCAACGGCTTTACATGATTTCCGAGGCACGGTGTTGAGACACCGCCAACTTCCTGGCTGTGGACAGCTACTTAGAATTTCTTGATTGAAAAACTCAATATCTGATTCGTTTTGGACCAACGAGGCAGTCATGTGTATATATTATATACATATATAAGTAAATATAAGAAATTATTATTAGACTACCTAAAAGTCCACCTGGGTAGATACCACCCGCTTACACATACAAAGATAAGATGTATGTTTAGATTGTATTGTACATTTATATACCAACATTAATTGAATTTGATAATCATTGACAATTTGGCATGTAAGATAAAGTAGGTAAAGCAAATAAATTTACAAACTTACCCTTTTGTTATATAAACAATATTACTTTATAATTATTATTAAATATAACTATTACAATTATACGGAAATTAATGAGATACTTGGTTTATTTAAAGTTAAACTACGAAATACATTAAATAGTTTTAAAGTAGTGAATAAAGAAAATATTTGCGTATACTTATTGATAAATTACAATTGATAAGATAAAAACAAGTAGCTTTGATAACTAATAGACAGCAAAGTTATCTTACTAAAGAATTACTTTCAAATACAGTTTCCTAGTCCCACAATTATTTGTAAACAAAGTGGAATTTAGATTGGAATGATCACCGATTTATGCAAAGCCGTTATAGAAAGGCGCCTTCTACTACTTTTATTTTCACATTTATCAATCCTCAAAGTAATTTAACTAATGCCACATCATTGATGCAGCATTAGGTTTATATTTTATAACTTTTCAGTTTACTTACCGCTATGATTTATAACTACAAAGCACAAGTATGTTTCATTTTGATTTTGTTGCCTATAACACACATAAAATCACTAACTTTATTATAACACATAACTTATTGAATTCAATTAATATTAATGTTTAACAAAAACTTTTACAGTTATATGGCATTTTCCGTTACTTTTCATGAAAATTTACAGAAAGAAAAATCACAAGATAGACAAGCAACAAGAATCAGACGCAGGCGTAGGACAGTTGCCTTGAACCACAAAAATTTAATGGATGGTGGCGCCATCCATAACTTGTTTCCAAAAATAATTTGTTTATAGTTGGTCTTATGGCTTCACAGATGTCGCTACTTTGGAAAAATAAAATGAAATTTACTTACAAAATAAAAATAAGTGCACCAAAAAATTATTGGTGATTTTATTGATAAAAAATTATAATTTTAACATAAAAACACGTAATAATTATCGAATAAATCGATAAATATGACAATTATGATACTGGCAACCAGCATTTTATAATAAAATATAAAAATAAAAAATGAAATAATTGTCATATTAAATTGTCATTCCTGTAACATCGCAAATACCCTTTTTATATATTATTATCTCACAAATACAAGTGTACTTATTGAAACTATTTACCTACTTTTAATATTAAAAGTATAAATTATTTTACAAAAAAAGAAAAATTGTTTCAGTAAGTATGCGAGTTAAAGAACATAATAGTTACATTAATATGATGTACATAATATAGCTATATATAGCGAATTAGTTCGGATTCAATTTGTAGGAGACGCTAGTAGTTCAATTTTGTCTGCAATAAAATATCGTCAGAGGGCTCTCTTTTCCTGTATATACTTATTATACTCTTTGATCAGACGACCGTCGTCGTATTATTATTTAGTCCATACCATAGACAAATAAATATGTTGCAATATGTATAAAATATAAATTAATAATATGTAGTTAGTATCACAATCACAGATCATATTACAACACTATTACTCATTACTCGTTAGTATATTGTCTATGAGAGTGATTCACAGACTAAATTCTACCGACTGAGTGATTAATACAGAACTGTAAAACATAGCTTGATCTTTTTGATAGTGGAGTCTTGGCGGGAACTTGACCGGCGAAGGTTTGCTGCTCCTGTATTATAATTTAAATAATGGTTTGAAGTGGATTTTGATATGTAAAAGTGGTGCGATGTTGTGTGTTAAGTATCTGCGCATGTGAACTATTAGTGGAAAAGGTGAAACAAGTGCTCTGATGGTGATGTGATTCTCAAGATAAGGTTTCTGTCTGTTTAGGCGCCTTAAGAAACCATCGCCAACTGTCAGCTGTCTGCTGGCTCAAGTTGCCGTCAAAATCTCCGAGTGGCTGCACAATTTGATGAATAAACCTATTGTGAAGCAGTGTACTATCAAGAATAATTATACATTGTAACGTCAGGCTCAGAAGCGTTAGAACCCAGAGCCGTAAAGCCAGTTATTAAAAAATCTTTTTGACAGAGGCGTCTAGTGATGGAAACAGAAAATATCTGCAAAAAATAACGTTTTATATAGGTACTTGTAACTGTGATGAGATGGTGTGATTGTATGTATATTTTAAGCTATTCAAAATAAATTCATTCATTCTTCAATCAACTTTATTGCACTAGACATATAAAAATATTGGGCAGGTAAGCGACGATGGGTTATAATATTCATATAATATTGAGTTAAAATCAAGATTGAAAAATAAAATAAAATTTTCTCTTTAAAACCCATTTTTTAATCGGGAAGAGAAGCACAACCAAGATTACCATCGTCGGAATCGTCATCGGAACTTGTGTCATCATCTCCAACTTGAATTTATTTATTATTAACTCGTTTTCAACATAATTGTCGAAGTGCACATCGCGCATACAGTCAGACAAAACTTCTTCTTTCACGTGTTGAACAACATTCGCCCAGTTTTCACCAGTCACCTGACCAAATGTTGTTGCGTACTGCATGTCCTGTGAACCAAATAAGTGATGAATAAAGTAATACTATTTAATGCAATGTTATAGTATTTATGAAAAAAAAAGAAAATTTATTTAATACAAATATGTTATAATATTTATCAAGAAAAAAAGAAATGTTTACGCATTTTCATAGTTATATTTTACATTTATAGTGACGCGA